AGTGCCCCGTGGGGTGTGAGCACTTGCTCTGTGCCCGGTGCTGTGTTTAGTGCCCCGTGGGGTGTGAGCACTTGGTCTGTGCCCGGTGCTGTGTTTAGTGCCCCGTGGGGTGTGTCTTGGGGATGGGGATGAGATCATTTCCAGTGGCACAAGAGAAGGCCGAGGCACAGAGTGGCTGCCAAGGCTCTCAGCTCTTAAACCGCTGAGTCTTGGGTAGGCTCTGACAGTGAGTTACTGTGGGTCCAGCGGAGTCTTGTTCTGTGGTCATGCCTGTGGGGTTAGAGGGTTCTCTTCTTGTGATTGCCTCTTTCCTGCAGCTGTGCAGTTTGCTGGGGCGGGGACCAGGGGTGTTGGAGCCTAGCCACTGGCTCTCAGCAGGTGGCTCTCTACCCTAGGGACCAGGGTTGCCAACCCTTTTGCCATAAGTTTTTCTTCCTAGGACCTCACGCCAGGCAGTGTGGAAGAGGCTGAGGAGGCTGAGCCAGATGAAGAGTTCAAAGATGCAATTGAGGTGGGTGGCCTTCTCCCGGTCCCCTCGACTGACCAGGCCAGATGTTGGGTGGGCTGAGAGCTGTACTTTTTGTTTTTTTATTTTTTTCCCTCTCATCCACATGGGAAGCCAGAACTTGATCTGAGCTGGAAATTCACTGGTTGAAAGAGTGCCCCTGGCCCTTCCTCCTCTCCTCGTCTGTCTCGAGAGCCCAGGGCAGGGCTGGCTCTGCTAGCCTATGTAAACCACTGTTGTGGGGTGGTGGTTTGTCACCTGGCCTTGAGGTTATGGTGTCGGGGGGTGGGGGTGGGGCGTGTTTGGAGGAGGCGCCTGCCCTGTGCCTCTGCCTGTCTGTAGACTGAGTTCCATAGATGTCCCTTTGGGAGGGTGGAGAAAGTGGTTGCCTGGCCAAGTGCTGGTTCAGGGGAAGTTCAGCAGCCTTGATTTAGACAGTGATTTAGATTGGTAGTGTGAAGACCTGTTTTCTTTGGCTTGTAAACTTTTAAAATAGTTCTTTGAGCCAGTGTTTGAAACAGGGTGGATGTCAGTTAGAACTGTAGACTTGGTACTTTCCTAGCATCTCAGAGTCTGCAGCAGTCAGTATAGCTGAGGGGCCATTGTCTCCTGTTGGACAAGTCACAAGATTGCTCATCTGGGAGAGGTGCTTGTTGCCAAGTCTGATGGTCTGAGTTTGGTCCCCAGAACCCTCATGGTGGAGGGAGAGACGTGACTCTGGAAAGTGTCCTCTGAGAGGTTGTTGGAAGAGCAAGAGGCTTGTGATTTTAACTGGGCCCTGCTATACTGCTGACTTGCCCCTCAGACCCGCCCAGTCCCTTTCAGCTGTGACTGCGAGAGATTTCCTCAAGTTGGTGATGGCTGTAGGCTTCATCTGTGGAAGATGGAGATAGCATGGCAGGGCTTTCCAAGCGTTTTTGTTCATGACCCAAGTAAGGAACACATTTTTAGATCCAGACCCAGTTCACCCTTAGTTCTGTAGAGTGTGTGGAACTTAAGTGAAACACAGCCCAAAAGACTGTTGTGAGGGATATTTCCTTTCCTGCTCTGTCCTCTTGAACTGTATATGACCAGCGGCAATAGAGTCTCGCCAAGCTTTCTCTAAGCTTCCATGGGTCTGGGCTGCTTCCAGAGAGCCCACCTATTGCGCTCACCCTGCGGGAAGTACTCAGGGCTCGGGATGGCACAGCAGTTTCCCCTGCCTCTCCTGCTCTCCCTTCCTGCCAGCTCTCTCTGTTTTCTCTTCTTCTTCTTCTTCTTCCCCGCACCCTGGGAGGCAGGAGACCCACCTGGTGGTGCTGGTAAGTAGAAGCGGGGTGCAAGGGGCAGGGCTGGTTAACTGGGCCACACTTCATGGGCCACCATGCCCAGGTGCCTCTGCATGCAGGACCTGGGCTGTTGTAAGTGATGAGCGGGACTGGAATACGCTCTTCCCACAGGAGGATGATGAGGGCACCCCGTGCCCAGCAGAGGATGAGCTGGCCCTGCAGGACAATGGGTTCCTCAGTAGGAATGAGGTGTTGCGCAGCAAGGTGTCCCGGCTTACAGAACGGCTCCGCAAGCGCTATCCCACCAACAACTTTGGTATGGCCGAAGAAGTGGATTGGAGGGGGGTGTGGCTAGGGCGGGTGGACACCTGGGCCACAGGAGCAGAGTCCAAGAATTGTGGGCACTTGTAAAGATGTCCATGGCACCTTGGGGAATGTGCAGATGTCTCAGGACGTGTGAGTGTGGCATGAGTGTGGGTCTCTTCATGCCCACCTCTCATTGTCGAATATTAGCTGACAGGAAGAGAAGGTACCCTTGGCCCAGGCTACAGAGAGCTGTGATCCCTAGGCGACAGAACTTGACAGCAAATACTAGCTCAGCCAGTGTCCTTGGGCAAATTATGCCTCAGTTTCCCCTTCTGTAAGAGAAAGTTCTTGTTGGGTTGTTGTGGATGGCATGCCAGTGCATGCCAAGAGTTAGCACAAGGCCAGGCTGGCTCTTAGTAACTGGGTGCTGTTCGTGTGGGAGGTGCTGGCTGGGCCTGTGTGTCCCTGAGAGCCTGTCTCGGTCATTGTGACCTGGCTATCTGCAGTAAAGGGTACCTTCTTCTGGGTATGGAGTTTGCTGAGGTCACTTGCTGCCAATGTTGTAGTTTGGATAATGTGCATTTTGGGGGGTTGTGGGTAGATCAAGGACAGAGTTTGAAGGGTGGGTCTGACTTAGAGCACAGCTTGGGGACCAGGCTCTGATATGGATAAAGTCCTCGTGAGAGCCTAGAGTAACCGGTGACTGAGAGTCACTGTGCCTTTGGCTTGAGCGTTCCAGTGTTTAGTGAGATGGAGGGAGGGGAAATCCCTGGATTTATCTTCAGGAGTTTGAGGGACCTCTGGCCTGCCTTCCTGCCCCTGACTCGTGGTGTGGTTGTCTTTTCAGGTTAGGTGTCTGTCCTGGACCTGCTGGTTTCTTTCGTGTGTCACTATCCCTAAGCACTGAGGATCCCTTTTATTTGTGTTGACTCCTGTCCTTGACAGACACACTCTAGGCTCAGGGGCCTTCCATAGACACACTGTCATTTCTCAGGTGGATGTGGTGGGGCAGGCAGATCCTCTGGGCCCAGGAGCAGCAAAGGGATGTTTGCCTCAGACGTCTCTGCCATGGTCCCCCCGGCTCCACAGTCTTCCTTCCTTGGCCCCAGGGAGTCTCTTTTTAGCAAGAGCCGTGGGTAATCCTGGCTGGACTAGAAAGGAACTTTACTGTTAGGGTCACACATGTTACCCACGAGTCACAGCTGTGCCCTCTGCTGCTGATTGCTGCCCTTCCGGATCATAATAGCCCAGAACCCGTTTTCTCCATCTGCCATCTCTCCTGACATCCGCCCCTTGACTGCCAGTCACCACCTGAGCTGCTGTTGGCTGTTGTGCCGCTGTCTGGAGCCCCTCCATCCCGTCACCTTGGTGACTCATGTTGTGCCGCTGTCTGGAGCCCCTCCATCTCGTCACCTTGGTGACTCAGGAAGGTGGTGGTCCTGCTTGCCAGCAGTGCTTGAGAATTCTGTCTCCCTCCGTGTCATGTGGAAGGTGCCTGGTTTCACACTCCTCTTGGAACCTTCTGAAGACAGAAAGCAGGAGTGTGCATTTCCTAGAGGCCTATCTGTCCCTCAGCTGTGTTTATTTGTAAGGAAACATTATGAAAGGGTCACATATGGTGGGCTTCACTGAGGACACCTGAGTCAGGTCCCTGATGGCTTGGCTAGATTCCAGGGAGGAGAGTCTCTGGGTGCTCCTTGGTAATCTGCCAAGCTTGTGAGTCAGGGTGCGAGACCACTCAGTGTTGGGAGGGTGCAAGAATCGGAGCTGTGGGTAGCCTGGTGGCAGCTGCTCCTAGGGGTGGACACCTTTTCTTGTTCTGAATCCAGACCTTCCTCTCTGTACCCAGCTGAGATGCTGGGCTGTGCCAGGCGGGGGTCCTAGTGTCCCAGTTAGAAGAGTCAGGAGCAGTCCGGGGTGAGTGGTCCGGGCTGGGCCACAGCTGAGCTGCTGCCTTTGTTTCTCAGGGAACTGTGCGGGCTGCGCTGCCACCTTCTCGGTGCTGAAGAAGAGGGTAAGTTGGTGCTGTGTGCTTGGGGCAGTGTGCTGTGACTGCTTGTGTGGGACTCGGGAGAGCCATCAATGGAGTCTGGGTCTCGGGTCACAGGGCCAGTGCATCCCCCCTGCTTCAGGCCCGCACCCTTACCAGCCCCTGCGGGCTGTCCGGCCTCGTTCCCACCCTCTCCATCTTACAGGACGATGGGACGATTGGAGGGAGGAGGTACTGGGCTGTCGGGTGGGCTCCCGAGGGTGGGCTCTGTCTGACCTTGGCGTTCTTGTTGACAGCGGAGCTGCAGCAACTGCGGGAACAGTTTCTGCTCTCGGTGCTGCTCCTTCAAGGTGCCCAAGTCCTCCATGGGGGCCACAGGTGAGGCAGGCAGTGGGTCAGGGCGGCCGCCCTGGGAGGGGGGGGCGTTCCCCACGGAGGAGACCGCCTGGTTGACTCTTACTTTCATTACCTCGGAAACATTTTTAACAAAGTCAAATTATTTCTCTTCCTCTCCTAAAAGCTGTACATGTTTGTTATGAGTAACACGTGTGGATGAGCAGAAGGAAGAAAATCCTCCCATGTGTCCCAGGCAGGGTGTTGGGTGTGGGCCTCTCTGTCGCTGGCATGTAGGTGGCATGAATGTGCTTTGGTGTTCTTGAAAACTGGGGTTATATTTCACTTCCTGCCCTGTGCTGTGTTGTGATGTTGGGCAAGCTTTTTCCCTTCTGATCTTACAAGTAGCACATGCTTGTTAACTGTAAAATTTGGATATTATTATAAAGAAGAAAGGAAGAGAAAAGTGATCCTGTAATCTTACCACCCAGAGATTTTTAACCACCGTTAAAACGTTTAGGGAAAATTTCCTCTGGTATTTTATTTAAAAAAAAAAAAAAAAAGGCTTAAAAAAGGTTTTTTTGTTGATGCCAGAAGAATTTCCAATGCACAGGACACCTGGGAGAGGCCTGCCGTCGGCATCAGAGCCCCAGTGCTCCGGCGTGACCGGGGCAGGGAATGCGCTGGGTCAGGGAGGTGTGGGCTGGCCGTGGGTGGTCTGTCTACGGACTGGGGCCCAGTCAGTTCCGTATTGGCGCCTTGAGCCTAAAGGGTACAAAGAACCGTTTCACCGCGTTCTTCTTCCTTTCCAGCTCCTGAAGCCCAGAGAGAGACGGTGTTTGTGTGTGCCTCCTGTAATCAGACCTTGAGCAAGTGAGAAGAGAAGAGAGAGGCCAGACTCCCTTTGTCCTGGGGCCAGCAGTAGACCCTCCTCTCCCAACCCCGGTCCTCTGAGGCGTGTGCCGGGCAAATGTAGCTGACAGCTAGGTCCCTCCTGCCTTCCCCTGCTGCCTCCAGCTGGGCTGGTGATCCGCTAAGGCCCACGGGAGAGGAGTCCCTGGAGCTGTTTGCCCTGAACCGCCCTGTGCCCTGTTGGTTCTGGACTGGCCAGAGAATGTCCACCAGAGGGCGGAATTGAGCACAGCCTGCTCTCGTCTGAGCTCTGATGGTCAAGGCCAGACTGACTAGGCCTTAGGCTCTAAGAGACCTGAGGTGGGGAAAGAGGTTCTTCCCTGTTGAGTGCTGGCCGGCTAAGCCCCAGAGAGCCTGCAGGATGACTTAGACACCATGGCCTGACTCTGCCCTTTGAGAAGCCTCGGGAGCTGTTGTTTTCTAGACATGATTGGAGTTCCCAGGTGCCCAGGGGAGAGTGCACATGAGGGCACTGATCCAGTCTCTCAGTGTCGAGTGGATGGTAGCGTGGGGAAGCTCTGTCTACAGGATCTTATCTCCCATGACTCTCTGGTGTCCTCAGCCCTGCTGGGATGGCTGCGGGACCCTCACATCACTCCTGCTCCTGCCCTGGGTCTAGGGCACCCCACCTCTCTTCTCTCACACTGCCACCTCTCCGTAACCCTTACCCCATAGAACATGAGGCCAGGGGAGTGGAGCAGAGATTCTGAAAGCCCTTGGCCTTTGAGGTCCGGGAAAGGGTAGGACTTGATGGGCTGGCTCTTAGAGTCCAGGGCTGTTCCTGGAGAACAGTGTCCACTGTGGTATAAGGTCACATGATTAGTTTTATGTTCCCTCTGATCTGCCAAGGGGGCCCTGTGCCTCTTCTTAAGCCATGAGCTGGCTCAGGCCCCCTTTCCCTGGAGCTGCCCTGTCTTTTCAAAGTATTTATTTATTTATTTCATGGTTCCTGGGAGCATGCAGCGCAGGGCTGGGGTGAAGATGAGGGGCTTCTGCAGGACCTTGCATCTGGGTGTGGGATGAGTGACTCCCGTCTGAAGCCCTCTTTGCTGATTGGCCATATACAGAGCAGTGAGGGTTTGGCAGTGCGGACCAAGCAGGTGAGGTGTACCCTTTGTCCTGGTGAGCGAGCATTACCTCTGTGCTTATTTATTCTGGAGAGCAGTGTAAAGGAACTGTATGGAGAATTGTCAATAAAAGGCCCCAAGCTTACGCTTTTGTCCTGTCCTTGTGCCAACACTCGCCATCGGGGGGGGGGGGGGGGGGACGACCCAGGTTTCCTAGTGCTGTTCAGATTTTTCGCTTTGCCAAGGGTGGGCTGTGGGGCGGGTCTTTGCACACTCTGTGGCAGTGCCCGTGTGCTGCTGCCCGGTCTGTGAGGGAGCCAGACCCAGTGGAAAGCTGTGCCCTGTGAACAGGAGGGGCAGGCTTTGTCTTGTGACCAGAGTGAGGGCCGTGGATTGAGGTTGGGACCAGAATTTAAATACTAAACAATGCAGGCTTTAGAATGGAGAAGTCGTAGCTACCCCCTCTCCTTCCCCTGCAAAGCCAGAAAGGCCCAGCCCCGCGGGAGGGAGGCTGAGAGCTGGTGGGAGAGGTTGCTTGGAGAGGTGAGGTGCAGGTGGCCCCTGTGATCCCAGCGAGGCGGGGTGGACTGGGTGCCGGGCACTGCCTGGGCACTACACACATTGTGTTAGTGCCAGTGACAAGCCCAAGGGGCACTGCTCTTCTCACAGTAAGACGGCAGTGCCTAGCACAGTGGAAGCCGGCTCCAGGTCAGCCCACCTATCGTGGACCTCCTCTGTGTCATCCTGCAGCCTTGGGACATGCACCTCTGTCCTGTGTCCTTACAGCAGTCATCTTTTTTTTTTCTTCCCCCTTTAAGCCAGAGGATAATATAAAATCATTTTTTAGAGGAGAGTGTCAGGGAGAGTCCTGGGATAGTCTGAAACAGTTGATGCCATCCTGTTGAAAGGAGACTGTCATTGCTCAGGAAGGCTGGCTATAGGGTGTAGTGGAAGATGTAAGGAAAGGGGTTTTGCCCTTTTTGTTTCCTGGAGGCCCCTGTGAGAATGGGTGGGGGAGGCTGTCTTTAAATGCAGGTTCTATTGAGAGCAGGGCCACCAGGTTTCACCAGGACTGGTGACATTGTCACCATGGAGCTCATGGTACAGAGAATTCAAAGTGGCATGACAGACAGCTACCCTTTGTGGAATTAGACACATGCCAGTTTGATCTTGGGCATCCAGGAGGAAGGGACAGATAGCCAGGGTACAGTCCTGGCACCTGGCAGGGCAGGTCTGGAGGCCTGGCTCCAGCCGGCTTGGGCTTAGGTCTACTGAGGTTTTTGTGGTCTGGAGTGCTGATGCCTTTGGAGAGTCTTGGCATACCTGGAACAGGCGATGGTTTGGGGTAGGGGGGTCTTCTGTATGAGCCAAATGAAGCTCCGTTTTCATTCCTTTTTCAGAGGTCTGTGTCTGTCTGTCTGTCCACAGCTGGCCCTGTTCATGGGTCACTTTGCCAGGCTGAATGCTGAGTCAGTAACTCATTTTAATGTCCACAACACCACAGGTGCATCTAATTGGTGGGTATTTTAAATGGGTAAATAGAGGCACAGGGAGGCTAAGTGACCCACCCAAAATGGAATGGGAACTGTGCTGCAGGTGTTCGTAGCAGCCGTGGCCTAAGAAGCTTTGGGTAAAGGTCACACTCTGGGCAGCTTCCTCACATTCTGGTCCCCACTCTAAGGAGCTAGCCACTGAGCAACAAGAAGGATCTGCCCACTGAGCACCACCGCCTTCAGTCCCTAGCAGAACAGAGCTGGCCTTGTGGCGATAGCCCCTACCTTCCCCAGCTCCCCGTGACCCCAGCTCCTGCCAGCAACACCCCAACAGCACATTCCATTCTCTGGCACTGTTGGTGGCTGGGGATTCCGGGTTCCTTTGGCTGTGAGCCTTCTCGGGGCTCCAGCAGAGCCTGCTGTCTGGGCTGGGACCCTGGGCTCTGGCCACACACATTCCAGCAACAAACACCCCCACACTAGATTTCCCAAGGAGTGAACTTTAGCCAGGATTACAGCTGGCTGTACAGCTGTGGGATGTGAGCTTGCTTTGTGGAGACCTGAGGCTGGATTATGGTCGGGGTGAGGGGAGGAATGTGTGGGACTTGGTGGCTCCGCGGCCTCTGTCCAGGCCCTTGCAAGTGTCATCAGAGCAGCTTCCAGAGTCTTCACCATTGTTTAGCCCACCTCAGACCCACCTCTGTGGAAGATAGGAAATGGTCCTCTCTTTGTGTTCATGGGGGAGGTTTGAGACAGGCTTTCTCTGTGTAGCTTTGCGCCTTTCCTGGAACTCACTTGGTAGCCCAGGCTGGCCTCGAACTCACAGAGATCCGCCTGCCTCTGCCTCCTGAGTGCTGGGATTAAAGGTGTCTGCCGCCACCATCTGGCTTAGTCCTCAGACTTTTAAACTGTAGGCTCTGACTCCATGTGGTGCCCTGTAACTGGATGTGGGGTTGTGAAAAATTTGGTAACAGTAAAAGGTTTTGGAACACTGAATAACCAAAAATTCACTGAAAATCAAACGTGTAACTCAAGGTGGGAGGCATCTCTAGGGCACTGTCCTCTGCACTGTACTACACAACACACACCCTGTGGTCTGTGCATCCCCAGATGCCACACAGCCAGAGAATGCTGCTTGAGACACCCCAGCTCAGATGAGAGAGCATTGCGTGTGTGCATGACGAAGTTTTTACTGAATGTTCCGTTCCTGCTCTTACAGGAACATAATGGTTTACAGAAAACAAGGACTTAATATTTGATCCGTCAGCATGTAAATATCATCAAATTAGTATGTCTTTGGATTGCATTAGGTTGGAATATTTGATTTTAAGAAATGAACGTTGGCGGCCTAGTGAGAGGGTTCACTAGGTAAAGCCTTAGCTGCATAGGCTGGATACCCGAATTTGATCCCTGGAACCTATGTTCAGAAGTCAGGTGTGGTGCCTTTGTGATCTCAGCACTCCTGTAGTGAAGTAGGAGGAGACAGGAGAATTGCCCTGGAGCACACACACAGCAGCCTGACCTAAACTCGAGACCCTGCCTCAACAAGGTTAAAAGAGAGAACCAATTCTCCGGCCTCCACACATGTACATACACAAGTAACAAAATTTAAAAAAGAAAAGAAAATTACTGACCTTAGTTTCATAAAAAATTGTTTAATGATTTCATTTGGATCAGGGGTCAGGATAGAATTTCAAATAGTTTATGAAATGTCTCTAAACATACTTCTGCCATTTTGTACTGCGTGTGTGTGTGTGTGTGTGTGTGTGTGTGTGTGTGTGTGTGTGTGTGTGTGCAGAACAGCATTCTCAGTGTTGGTGATTATAAATTCAAAACTGATTATCTAAAAAAAAGTGTTATTCATCCTAAAGTATCAAACAGCTACAATTTAATTCCTTATGTAAATGCAAGTACATTGTTCCATTAGTGTGCAAATTTGCTTTCATCCCTTAAGAAGTGGTGTGTGTATGCCAAAGGATTATTTTGAAATAGATTTATGGCTTATTATCAGTAAATGTTTGATTTATATACCCATTTCACATAACTATGCTTGGAAACAAGTAAACATTTCTTGGGTGAAAGGTTGTGGGTGGGAAGTGTTTAAGAAGTCCTGGGTAAGCCAGATGGTGGTGCACACCTTTAATCCCAGCACTCAGGAGGCAGAGGCAGGCAGATCTCTGTGAGTTCAAGGCCAGCCTGGTCTACAGAGCAAGTTCCAGACCAGCCAGGGCTACACAGAGAAACCTGTTTCTGAACAATAAAATAAAGTCCTGGGCAGTGGTTAAGAGTTTGAGGTCCAACCTAACTCCACCAGGTATGTTGTGCAGACGCAAACAAGGACCTCAACTTCTCTGGGCTGTAGTCACTGGTACCAAAATGAGCTACCTCTTGCTGGACGGTGGTGGCGCACACCTTTAATCACAGCACTGGGGGGCAGAGGCAGGTGGATCTCTCTGAGTTTGTGGCCAGGTTGTTCTACATAGTGGAGTTCTAGGCCAGTGAGGGCTACACTGTGAGATTTATCTCAAAATGGCTGCTAGAGGGTTTAAATTAAAATACAAAAGTGTGGGCTGGAGAGATGGCTCAGAGGTTAAGAACACTGGCTGCTCTTCCAGAGGTCCTGAGTTCAATTCCCAGCAACCACATGGTGGCTCATAACCATCTATAATGAGATCTGATGCCCTCTTGTGGTGTGCAAATGTGTGTGTAGATAAAGTACCACATAAAGTAAATCTTTAAAAATTAAAAAAACACTTAAAAATTCAAAAATGCTTTGAGTGGTACCTGCTGCTCAGCATGACCTTGGCAGTCATGGGTGTCTTTTCCCAATATTGGCTTATATGCCACCTAGGGATATATTTCTGAAGCAGACAAACCTCCAAATGCAGTTTCTGTAATTCTGGCTTTAGATAAGACACCCCTGCTTCTCCCTGCCATCTTGTCAGTCATGTATCTCTATTGAATAAAGAATCAATTAGGAATTGTACTGAGCACCTACTGTGTGCAAGCATTGTTGGATTAATAAAAGTACTAATAACCACTAACAACCATTTACATCTGGGCATTATGTCCAGGCACTTGTCATGGACTTGGCACCACTCTGTCACCCTGGGGAGCAGGTAGTATACTCAGTGTCACCTGGTCACTGATGCGTAGGACTGGAGGCCAGAACTGGACTGCCTTTCCCTCCTCACCATGAGTGTGTGGTCCCCTGCTCCAAGTCGCTCCTGTTTTGTGTGAGAATTTTGTGTATTCAGGTGAAAACTTGACTTCCTTTGCTCTCTTGCAAGTAGGAGGGTGGTCATGTGACTTCTCCTGGCCTGGAGCTGGAATGGAAGTCTACCAGGTGGGCCTGCTTGCCCACTACTTTTCTGCTCAGGAGGGGTGGAGGCTTCTCACTTAGCTTTATGCCTTGCTGTCTGGAAGGGGCTGGGAGTTGGGAAGAGAACTGTGCTGTAATGGTAAGAACTGCGGATGTCTGGAGCCTCGGACATCCCCAACGCACACCTGCCTACCTCTACAACTTTTGTGTAGAGTGGTCCCATGTGCCAGAGGGATTCAGTTCTGTTCATGTGAACAGAGGCTTGCCTTCACTGGTTCCCTGAGTCCAGGTGTGGGCTCCTGCCGACTGTGAAGGAAGTCATTGCAGCCA